CAAACTTCAAAAAAAAAAAGAAAAAAAGAAAAAAAAATAATATAAAACCATTTAAATCAGCCAATAGTTGAAGCCCACGTAAGAGGGATTGAAAATCTAAATGGGCCTCCAAATGGAAATACATTGGGCTTAGTGTGGCTGGAGGAGTGAGGCCCAAAGTCATTAAGGCCTGGGCTTCCTAGCTCTTGATTTGGGCTTCTTCTTGGGCCTGTCTGTAAAGGTACTGATTTCTTCAAGGGTCACCAAAACCTCTTCCATGGAGGGCCGATCTCTGGGGTCCATTTTCAAACATTTTAAAATGAGTTCAGCTGTGCCCCAGGCTCCTCCGGGCGAGTAGTCGTCCCCAAGTCTTGGGTCCATTAGTTTCGTCATCTTCTTCTTGTTGCTCAGTGATGGCTTGGCCCACTTCACCAAGTTGTGAGACTTACTTGGTCGGTTTGGGTCCACTGCCCGCATTCCGGTCAGGAGCTCGAGGAGCACCACTCCGAACCCGTACACGTCGCTTTTAATGTACAAATGTCCTGTTTAATTGTTGTCGAGGTTGTGAAAAGATTCGAAAAATTCAAGTTGATTCGTGAGTTGATATTGTTTTGTTGGGTCAACTTGACCAACTCGAAAATAGGGTTATAACACAACCAAACTCTACTATTAAGATTATTATGAAAATTAATAATATTTTACCGTATGCATTTTTAAAATAATTAAAAAACAACTTGACTGTTGGATGATGAAAGTCTTACATCGGTTAATTTAGGGAATGATCATGGGTTTATAATTAAGGAATACTCTCTCCATTGATATGAGGCCTTTTGGGAGAGCTTATACTCAAAGTGGACAATATCATACCATTGTGGAGGGTCGTGTTCATCTAACATAGTACAGAGCTATACCCTAAACTTAGTCGTGCCAATAGATTAGTAAATCCTCAAATATTGAATAAAGGACTCCAAAAGAAAAGGAGTCGAGCATCCTCCAAAAGAAAAGGAGTCGAGCATCCTTCAAAAGAAAAGGAGTCAAGCATCCTCAAAGGCAGTAAAAAATGACCAAGACTCCAAAGGAGTCAAGCATCCTCGAAGGCAGTAAAAAATGACTAAGACTCGATTAAGGGGAGGCGTACTTTGTTCGAGGGGAGGTGTTGGATGATGAAAGTCCCACATCGGCTGAGTTTATATAATCAAGGAATACTCTCTCTATTGAAATGAGGCCCAAAAACAATATCATACCATTGGTGAAGGGTCGTGTTCATCTAACCTCAACAACTCAACCCAAAAATAGAAGGTTTAGGTTAGACTGTGAACTCTGTTCGGGTTGCTTAGATCACCAACTCACCAACCAACTCGAAATTTTGGATTGATTCAAATAAATTTCTCAACTCAACCCGTACATACCCGTACATGTGTCCTAATTTTGACCTACACGTTAGGGAAATTTCTTGAAGGGTCTATTTGGAATTTACTAAAAAGTTCAGGGGTATTAAAGTCATTTTGAAAAAAAAAGGAGAAGGAAGGTAAATAATACCACTAGCAATGTACTCAGGGGCAGCGTAGCCGCAGGTGCCCACTGGATCCGTGCTGACGTGGGAGTAACCATTCGATGGGCCCAGTTTCGCCAGCCCAAAATCCGACAATTTTGGGTTAAAATCCTGAAATAACAACATTTTTATTTTATATTAAACATAAAAAATCAAAATAATTATTAAAAAAACAAAAACAAATTAATAATTAATAATTACCCAGTCCAGGAGAATATTAGCCGCTTTGAAGTCGCGGTAAATCACGCTCTTCTCCGACGTATGGAGGAACGTCAATCCACGCGCCGCCCCCACCGCTATTTTAATCCGCGTTTCCCATGACGGTGGCTGTACACCTTCTAAAAAAATTTCAAAAAAAATTATAAAAAAAAAAAAGGACTTTCATTTAGTCAAATTAGAAGGGCAAAACCGGAAACTCACTTCGAAATAAATGATTCTCCAAACTACCCCTCTCCATGTACTCATAAATAAGTAGAAAGTGCTTGTCTTCCCAGCAATAGCCGATTAATTTGACGACATTTGGATGGGTAAATTTCCCCAAGAATTCCACCTCAGCCTATGAAAATTACCCACAAAATTAATTCAAAAATAAAAATAAAAAATAAAAAATAATGAGCTGGAAATTGATAAACCTTCCATTCCCGGAGGCCCTGAGAGCTGTCGGGATTTGACTTTTTAACGGCGACAGGGATGCCAACGCCGACCTTAGACGGCGCGTAGGTGTCCCTATCGACCCAGCCTTTGAAGACCCGCCCAAATCCGCCCTCTCCGAGCAGCGTGTCGGGGCGAAAATTCTTGGTGGCCGTCTTCAGCTCCGAGAGAGTGTAAACTTTAAGATCGAGCGGCGTGGAGGAGGCGCGTGGAGTAGATGTGAGGTGGCCGGGAGAGGAAGGCTTGGTCGGAGGGAGGGAGTGGGCGTCGACGGGAGTGCCGCAGAGGTTGCCCATGGAGGGAGGCTCGGAGCTCGCTTCGAGGCTTAGGGATGGGATGGGCTTGATGGAGTATATAAGAAGATGTCGACACAGTTCTGCGAAGGACACCAGAAATTACGCCCCTAACCCTTGTCTTCCAGTTTGACTTGTTCTACCACGTAAAGTGAACTCGGTTCGGTCCGGTCCGGTCCGGTCCTTTAGTGTCCCACTCCCACGTGTCTTAAAATTATTTTCCATTACTTTTTAAATATATATATATATATTTTTTTCTTGCAACTAAGTCAATGCTCACATCTACGCTTCCCCACCAAGTTTTTCTTTTATTTTTATTTTTTTAATTTTAATTTTAATACAAAATCGGCAAATTCAATGATTAACTTAACCCTAATTAATATTTTTTTTTAATCACCAAACTTTGTTGTCAATTTGTTAAACATATTATACAATATTTTATTTGAATTTTGTTTTTAGTAGGGTAAACGTTCCATTGGACGGGAGAAATTGATTGGTGACTTGAATAATTTGAACAGAGTTCACAACCGATCTAACTCGATCTGAAATTTTTTAGTTAGGTTGGATTGGGTTGTCGATTTTTTTTAGTTATTTAAAAAAAATCTTAATTATGGTTGAAGCTCAAATATTAAATACCCACACGTCATAATGCATGAGTTAAAAGTAGGGGCAGGGTAAAGTTGGATTGTAACTCTATTTTCGAGTTAGTCGAGCTGACCCAACAAAAAAAAAATGTAAACCCACGAATCGAACCAAAAAGTTTGACTCAACCCAAACGTAAAAAAACCTAACCAAATTCAACAAAAAAATAAATAAATAAACGTCTGGAGTTTACGTTTTGAAAGGGTGTTGAGCGGGAGGAATAAAGTAGACAAACATTCACTTGAAGCCGGGTGCGGGAGTGCACCCTAACATGTTAAGGACTACATATGAGTTTGCTTTTACCGATTTTCTAGGTACGAATGAGAGCAACTATCTGTACTAATAAGGTGTACTAGCAAACGTGTTTCATTTAGGCCAATTCTATACCAAACGATCTCTTAATCTTTTTTTAAAAAAACACATGAGTAAAAGACAAAACAAATCGAAAGAATTAGTATCGGTGTGTGAAAATAATCTAAGTTTGAGTTTTACGAAGCTTTAAAAACATGTCTTACACGATACGAACCGTTTATTAAACATATTAACGAGATCAACATTTTATTAAAACGTCAAGGATATTAACATTATTATTATTATTTTTTAATTTACAAATATAAAAAAGGACACTTATCCTTTGAAGTGAGAGATGGAAGAGTTCCATTAGATTTGGAAGATCTAAGACTAGGAATCTTTAAAAATTAAATAAATAATAAAAAAGAAAATATAAATAATGTCAAGTGGGCCCCAAACCAACCATTATCATTATCTCATAAAAAAAGAAAAAGAGTAAAAATAATATAAACTAATTCAATAATTAAATAATAAAGGACTTTGCATTAGTGACTCAGCACCAAAGCAATTTATTTCTAGAATTATTTTTTGGGGTCAAATTATATCTAATAAGTCTTCAATTTTAAAAGGGAACTAAAAATTAATTAATTAAAAGATTATAGCTATTAAAATATATTTTATGGGACCATAATTCAACCTCCAAATTTACTATTAAATCATTGAATTAGACTAGTAGGACAAAAAGAATATGTATTTTTAATAAGATAATAATAATAATAATAATAATAATAATAATAATAATAATAATAATAGTTTTATTCTTTATTGCAATTTAAAGATTTCATAATCCAAGGTATTAATACAGTTTTTGAAAATATCAATAGAAAAAAAGTACTATTGAAATATTTTAAGTTCGAGAGGTATTTTTTAAACAAAAATAAAATTCAAGAGAATTTTAAATAATTTAGTTAAAAAAAAAGAGAGAAAAATAGTGCATTAGAAACTCTGTTTTCTTAATGTGAGAAAATTTCAACACTTACCTCTCAATCAATCAATCAATTTTTCAGATTCGTTTTGTCCTTAGACTCGTTACGGAGATTACTCAACTTAATGACCTAACGACCCCTTAAAGGGGGTTGCTCGGTCAAGTCAACCCAACCCCTTCCCCGCCCGTCGTTGTTCGGTAATCAATTCATTGCTTCCTCATTCACATTGTTCTAACAGGTGGTGCCTTAACTTTCACATCTCAAAGGACTCTCCAGTTTTGCTGTTTTCTTTTAGTACACATGTTTCTTGACTTGAAGCAGGTCTACTTGTGAAATCTACGCATCAAATGAGTACAAAAATTGTCCATACTAAGTTTTCTCGTACGATAGATTTTTGGATGAAATTTCTTAGATCTATAAGACCGATTTATGTGAGATCCCGCATCGGTTGGAGTCAAAGACGAAACATTTTTTTATAAGAGTGTGGAAACATCTCCCTCCCTAATAGGCGTGTTTTAAAAACCTTGAGGAGAAGCCTGAAAGAGAAAGCCTAAAGAAGACACCGAACCCCGAAGGGAGATGGATTGTGAGATCCCGCATCTCTTCCTAGCAAGACATTTTAAAAACTTTGAAAGAAAGCTTGGAAGGGAAAGCCCAAAGAAGACCATATCTACCTGCGATGGGCTTGGACTCTTACAAATGATATAAGAGCCAGACATCGAATAGTGGGTCAGTGAATGCCCTGATGAGGGTGGATTGTGAGATTCTACAACAATTGGATAGATGAACGAATACCAGCGAGGATGCTAGGCCACGAAGGATGATGGATTGTGAGATCCCACATCGATTGGAGAGAGGAACGAGTACTGACCCCGAAGGAAGTGGATTGTGAGATCTCACATCAGTTAGAGAGAGAAACAAAGCAGTGTAGAAACCTCTCTCTAGCAGACACGTTCTAAAAACCGAAAATCCGTCCTCTAGCTATAAACAAAGAAACTTCAGACACAAGCATCATCAATCTATCCCGCTAGCTCTCTCAAAGGCAAGTCGTCTTATCCTAATTCATACACGAAACTCGAATAATAGTAATAATAATAATAATAATGTTGCAAGAGGCAAGATGCTTGTATTATTCATATCATAACTCACATTTTCCAATATAGAAAAGAGAGGTGGTGTAATGTATTGCAAAGAAAAAAGAGATTCAGGGATCCTCTTACAAAACTACACATATGGTTTCCAATTACGAGTATTATTCATCTACAAATACATCCGAGCAAAGACAATGATATGTACCTTGGAATGTCCCAAGTAGCTTTCGCGGTCATCGAGCTGAACTGAGCTTATACGAACTTAAAAACACAGTAGAAAATCGATACGTACCTTTAACTCAGATTCTTTCTGCCGACGTAGGCGTAAAACATGTCATTCACGACGTTCCTTCTCCTTCAAATCGAATCGAATCAAGTACACTTCTCCTTCAAATCGAATCGAATCAAATACTTGTACGTAGCTTTGTACAGGTTATATACCTATCCTTTGAATCGGAATATATTACAATAAATATAACATATGCTTCACATTGCTTTTATCTTACACGTTTCACGACATGTCTAGGCACCTGAAAGAAAGCGCGTATACGAAAAGGAAAGACTCATATCAGTCACAGAAGACGGTCGGGATAATAACACCGAAAAAAGTGAACTTTGTCCTAACCCCTAAAAGATTACAGGGCATATCGAGGAGCTGATTATAAGAGTGCATTAACAATCTCGAAACGATCTTCACCTCTCAAAGTTTGAATTCAAGCGGTTAACTCGTTTCTGGTTTCCCGTTCTTAAAATCTACACGAATTTTAACAAAATCAAGACACAGTTTAGTGACCCGCCCCCTAAAAATTCTCTCTCTCGTCCTCTTGGATATATTAACAGACAAACAAAAAAAAGAAGATCGTATGCATATAAAAATAGGATTGAATGCTTTAAAAGAAACTCGATATGTCGGATTCCTTACGTGGCTTTTTCGGCAGCTTCTATACAGCAATCTCCAAACAGAAGTTTAGGGATTTCAGGGAATCCCTGATTCTTGGGCATTGATGTCTTCATTATGTTGTGAAGGTGATAATTGTGATGAACCAAGAATCTTAACATGGCGTAGTTCTTGTAAATAACTCTGAGAAACCAAATACTCGAGAGCTACAACAATATCACTAATAAGAGGGCGAAACGACGGCTGTTCCTGAAGACACATTGCAGTAATCGCAACGGCGTGTTGCAAACAACGAAGTGGGAAGTGTCCTTCCAACAGGGGATCGACTAATTGCACGAACTTTCTGCGATCCTTAAGTAAAGGACGGGACTGCAAATAGAACGAAAACGATGTAAAAGGTGGACAGATGTGAAGAGTAATATAGAATCATTGAGCAAAAAAGTTCAGTAAATTACTAACCCAAACAACTAGGTTCTGTTCCCCTGGTTTCCTTTTAGAATCAATAACCCTGCGCCCCGTAATAAGCTCGAGCATAACCACACCAAAGCTGTAAATATCGGATTTAAGGGTTAATTTGCCGCTCATGGCGTACTCTGGAGCACAATATCCATACGTTCCCATTACTCTCGTCGAAACGTGAGTATTGTCACCAACAGGTCCCAATTTAGCTAGCCCGAAATCTGAAAGCTTAGGATTGAAATCATTGTCCAATAAGATATTAGCCGACTTCAAGTCACGGTATATGACTGGGGGATTTGCTTTACAGTGGAGATACTCGAGGCCTCGGGCAGCAGCGACTGCAATCTTGATCCTTGTATTCCAACTCAGTGGCTTTTTGTCAGAACTCAAATCTGAAATAAAGAAAATTCACCATGAAGGTACCAGATTACATAATTAGTTTGATTCTTTACTTCTTTCTATAGATCTATATCAATTCAACATAATAATTTCCCCTTTGAAAAATAACAAGTTAACAATGAACAAATCAAACATTTTCTTATCGAACATGAAATTTTGGAGTTATAAGATACCGTAATCGCTAGGCTGATTCACCCAATTCATCGGCCAACTTGGTCCTGGACCAAGTCGGGCCAGGTCCCTCTCATATTCCATGTATATGATTATAGTCTGGATATTCACATGATCATACACTATAAATTTGACAAAACAGATGACAGAACTTGCAAAAAGGAAGATGCAACTTGGATAGGAACTAATAGCATACAATTTCTTTTATTTTTTTAGAAACAAAATGGCTCTCGGTAACAACCCAAGCCCAAGCCCACTGCTAGCAGATATTGTCCTCTTTGGACTTTCTCTTTCGGGGAAGCCCTAAGGTTTTTAAAATGTGTCTGCTAGGGGAGGTTTCCACACTCTTACAAAGAATGCTTCGTTCTCCTCTCCAATCAATGTGGGATCTCACAATTCACTCACTTTCGGGGCCCAGCGTCCTTGCTGATCGATGTGGGATCTCACAATTCACCCCCCATTGGGGCCCAATGTCCTCGTTGGCCCACCGCCCGGTGTCCACCCCCTTCGGGGCTCAAGGTCCTCACTGGCACACCATATGGTGTCTGATACCATTTGTAACAGCCCAAGCCCACCGCTAGCAGATATTGTCCTCTTTAGGCTTCCTCTCAAAGTTTTTAAAACACGTTTGCTAGGGGATATTTCCACACCCTTATAAAAAAATACTCCATTCTCCTCCCTAACCGATATGAGATCTCACACTCTTAATCGTTAAAACAAGTTCATATTATTAAAATATAATTGAACACATTTAAAAGGAACAAGGCAGAGTAAAAAAAAAAATCATTTACCAAAAAGATGACCTTCCAGGCTTCCCATAGGCATGTACTCATAGACCAAAAGCCTTTGATCTCCATCAGTACAGTAACCAATCAAGGTGACAAGATTGGCATGGTGCAACAGGCTCAACATGAGAACCTCCACAATGAACTCCTGAAAGCCTTGAAGGCCATCACGATTAAGCTGTTTAACTGCAACAATCTGCCCACAACAACAAATGGTATACATAACTCAATGAACCAAATAACAAGCTGACAAAATACAAGGAATCCTCACCTGTCCCGACTCCAAACGTCCTTTATAGACGCGTCCAAAACCACCCTCTCCAAGCAAATTCACTTCCTTGAAACCTCTCGTAGCTGTGGCGAGTTCACGAAACGTGAAACTTCGAGCAGCTACGCCCCCCTTCGAACAGCTTTCAGTGATGACCCGATCTTCTTTCCCCTTCGAACCTAGATTTTAATGGTTAATAGCCTTAACAGTAAGATCATTACCCAAATGCACATCGTAGAAGTACAAATAAGAACAAGATTATCAACACCAACAATGTCATCAAATCATTACAACGCTATATCCTTCCCAATACAGAAAATGTTCATCATCCAATATATAAATCACAGGGGAAATGAAGACAAACCTGAGGAATTAACAGAATTCCGTGATTCAAATCGAACAGAACTATCAATTTCCACCCTGCTTCCATCTTTAGTACGAGGATTAATACAAGAAAAGCAACCCATATCGCCGAACACAAATCAAAAGATTAAGGAGCCACAATCGCCCTCCTCATTTCTTAAAACAACAAAACAACCCTAATCATACCCATGCCGCCGAAGCTGAAAGAAAAATCACAGAAACAAAAGGAGATTCATCGTCTTCTCCTCCTCCTCCCCTCCAAATCGGAGAGATTAAGAGAAGAAAACCCTCACAGAATGAAAACAACCGGCGCAAAACTCCCTGCCCCACCGAAAGAAAAAAAGGAAACCAGAAATCTAACGAGAAAAAGACGAACAAAAGGGTGGGGCAGAGATTATTGCACCAAAAAACACGGCCTCGAAAATCTGCAACGGCAGAATCAGAGAAGTCAGAAAGAAAGACCGCAGAGAATTTTCGCGAACAATCGCGTTAGAAATACAAAGAAACAGGGGAATAATTGCAATGAAAAAACAACCAACCTAAAAAAAGAAAGATCAATGAGCGATTTAGCGCCACAGTTAGCGGAGAGTGCCTCGTGAATCATACACATCTTTTTGAAAGAACTAAAGAAATGGAAGAAAATAGAAAGAAAAAAAAGGATTGCGTTCGGTGGCGGTGGGCCTGTCTGTTCTGCCACGCCGCCGCGTTCTGATTGCAATTTCTGTCCGCCGATCATTGTCAATTTACGTAATTACCCTTATAAAATAGTGTTATTTACCAGATATGCCCCTCGGGAATTTCCATTTCTGGAGGCCTAGGAAATCGTAATATAAAAGTCAGCGTCGTCCTTGATTCAGTGACACGCTGTTTGACTTTTTATTTACTTTTTTTTTAATTAATTTATTTATTTCTCAGAATTCAATTAATTTTTAATAATATTATTTTATTTTAAATCCAAATATGTTTACTTTTTAAGAAAATTCCAGCTAATATGTTTATTATTTTTAATTTTTAAAATATTTTTTTTAACTTTAATGTTAAAATTTTATGGCTAAAATTAAATTAAAAAATTATAAATATTGAGATTTATTTATTTTTTAAATGCAAAAATTCTCATAATTTCACTAATCTCAGTGAAATCATATCAATAATATACAAATTAATTATTAAATAAAATTTTATACAATAAATTTGTTTAATTTTATATATTTTTTAATATATAAGATAAAAATACTTTTTAAATATTTTAATTAATAAATGGTTAAATTAAGTGGAAGGTTAGAGAAATTGGTTTGAATTTTGGACATTTTTGGTTTGCATTCACATTAACCTACTCCCACCCATTGTTCTTTACAAGGTATCATTTCTCTTGTAATCATGCCATTCTAGATCTTCTCGATTTTAAATAATGTTACCGACATAAAAGAAAAAATCTTAATTTTATGAAAAATGTCAATGAAAATATCGGAAATGGGACGCTCGAGTGAACGAGGGATAGATGAATGAAATGAGACCGCTTTGAATGAGAGTGATTCTGATGATGTGAAATTATGGTTAAAGAAAAGTTTAAGTATGAACCTATTTCATTTTTCATCCTCCAAAATTTTAAGTTGAATTTAGAAAGTCCTTGTTAAGAATATATTTATATCAAAGCAGGTAGACCTGAAATAGGTCAGGGACGAGATGAGAATAAAGAATATAATCTTCATCTTCGGCCCCGTTTATTTAATTGGGAAAAATTTCTCCTCATTCCGTCTTCATTCCTAATTTAAATGAGGATTTCCTGCCTTATTCGAAGCGGGTTTTTGCGAGGCTTGAGCTCTACTAGTTTGAAGGAGAATTCGGAAGAAAAAAGAATCTCTCTATAACTTATTGTACGTTAAATAATCAAACGAATGTTTGACTATTTAAATTTAATTATATACTTGTAAAATTCAAAGGTTAAAATTCAACGAATGTTTGACTATTTGAAGGAGGTTTCACCACTAGAGAGTTGGTGAAGGTTGTTCCTAGAATTCCCAAGCAACAGACCAATCCAAGGTTCAGCTCACATCAGCATTTTAGTATGAGTGCATTGGATTAAAACATATCAATATATTGTAAGATTCTGTATCGGTTTGGGAGGAGATCGAAGTTCACTAGGCCTCAAAAATGGTGAATTGTGAGATCCCACGTCAGTTGGGAGGAGATCGAAGTTCATTAGGCCTCAAAAAGGGTGGATGTGAGATCACACATCAGTTGGGGAGGAGAATACAGCATTTTTTATAAGAGTGTGGAAACCTCTCCCTACAAGATGCATTTTAAAACCGGGAGGGGAAGCCTGGAAGGAAAAGTCTAAGAGGACAATATCTTCTAGTAGTGGACTTGGGCCGTTACAAATAACATCGATGTGCCAGTAAGGAGGTTGAGCCTCGAAGGCGGTGGACACGAGGCGGTGTGCCAGCATGGACGCTGGACCTCGAAAGGGGGTGGGTTAAGTGGTCCCACATAGATTGGAGAAAAGAACGAGTGTTAGCGAGGACGCTGGGCCCTAAAGGAGAATGGATTGGGAGGTCCCACATAGATTGGAGAAGGGAACGAGTGCCAACGAGGAAGCTGGGCTCTGAAAGAGAGTGGATTGTGAAGCTGGGCTCTGAAAGAGAGTAGATTGTGAGATTCCACATTAGTTGGAGATGAGAACGAAACTCACTGGGCCCCAAAGGGGGGTGAGTTGTGAGATCCCTCATCGGTTGGGGAGAAGAACGAAGCATTCTTTATAAGGGTATAAAAATCTCTCCCTAGCAGACGCATTTTAAACTTTGAAGGGAAGCCTGAAAGAAAAAACCCAAAAAGAACAATATCTGCTAGCGGTGGACTTGGACCGTTACATATCTCCTCCGATATTTCCTTTGAAAAGTACTTTAGAGACAAACATATCAAGAAATTCCTAGCTCCTTTTGAATTCCATTGATCCACAGACAAAGTTTTACCCCAAGATGTTTTCGTCCAACTTCTAGAATCTCGTGGTCTCTTGGAAGAAAAATCTCCTGAAACTAAGGTAAAGTGTCGTAAAAGAATTCACTCAGCTTTCAAATCCGCAAGGTTCCAACAGAAAGGAATTATCCAGCTGCCTGCAGCCCCATCCCGACAACATTTCAGGTGCTAGCTACTCATGGAAAGAATCAAAGTTCTTCCTTCTCAACACAAGTAACGGCTCAAGTCCACCGCTAGTAGATATTGTCCTCTTTAGGCTTTCACTTTCAAATTTCTTCTCAAGGTTTTAAAACGTGTTTGATAGGGAGAGGTTTTCACACTCTTATAAAAAATACTTCGTTCTCCTCCCCAACCGATGTGGGATCTCACAATCCACACCCCTTCTGGGCCCTACTAGCACTCGTTCCCTTTTCCGATCAATGTGGGACTCTCATCCCACTCCTCTTTGAGGCCCAACGTCTTTGCTGGCACACCACTTCGTGTCCACCCCCTTTGAGGTTCAACCTCCTCGCTGACAAATTGCTCGGTATCTAGCTCTAATACTATTTGTAACGGCCCAAACTCAATATAGTCCTCTTTGGGTTTTCCTTTTCAGACTTTCCCTCAAGATTTTAAAACGCGTCTACTAAGAAGAGGTTACCACACCTTATAAAGAATGATTCACCCTACTCCTTAACCGACGTGGGATCTCAGATCCAGGACCTGAAGTTGCATTTCTCAGTCTTCCTTTTCAGTATGCCCTTTCTCTCTCATTAACTCGCCTATCAGCCTGCACCAAGTCTGTCCACATGAATAATATTAAGCCAGCTTCAAGATAATATTGAAGTTTCCTGATCAAGGGGAAAACATGCAATCAGAATAGAAGACTATATTCATTCTCATTTAAAATGTAAACAAACAATTTTTATGTTCATGCAAATGTTCGAAATAGTGAACGGCAGGTGCCATTTTATTGATAGAATTAGTCTCAGGACACTCCTGTTGAATATTTACAGTAATTTAATGAAAACTAAACGAATCTCATACATATTTTTAATGTCAAGCACTTGAATGTTAAAATATCTCTTTTCATCTATGCCTTCATTTACCAACTACAATTTTTCTCGCTTCTACTTCAATTACAGCTGCGCCAAGTGTTCCTCTTGTAATGCTCCAGAAATAATGTGAGACACTGACTGAACCACACCACTGCAACCAGGATGAGTTGAGTACTTGTTGGGTGTTCATTTTAGCAGGCAGGTATACGTACTCACGTATGAAAAATCAGAAGACAGCAGATATCCTGTGGCCATGTGATAACCACGTTGGACATGGACACAGGATGTATTTGGTACTTGAAAGCCAATCAGTTGTCCAGTTAGAAGTCTGATGTTTGCAAAAATCACCAAGTTTAACACAATCCTTGTATCACAACCGACCAAACAACTCAGAGGTTCAATCTCTGCACAAACAAAACCACAATAGTTGCTGTTGGCCTTTTTTGAGAGGAGCGAAGCCGTGGTGATTGAAAATATAAAATGGTCCACACGGGCCAGACAGCACAAACGAAAGAAGAAAAAAAAACTCCTAAAAAACAACTGACCAAAAGGAGCCAACCCACAATAATTACTTTTGGTTTGAATGAAAGCTTCAATACTATTCACCGTCTCCCTTCAATTTCAAATAATATTGTCCAAGAGTGCACAAACCTTTACTTAAGGAAATAAGCTTACCCTGCTCTTTACTTCCATAGCATAAAAGGGGCTAAGTTGGGTACGAAGGGTTCAAACAGGTTGAACTTACGGTTCGGGTTCAGACTATCCAATTTGTTTGTTAATAAACATGTTCATCATGGCATTCTTCTTGTTAACAGATTGTTCAGTAGCACTTTTTTTAATTTAAGTCTTCTCGAGGGAGTTGTGTTCAGTTTGCAAATGGTTAAGGACAGTTTTGGCAAATGATTTGCAACTCATATCAAATATAATAAACTTTGATCCAAGAAACCTCAAGTTTTAGGATTTCTTTCACCCTTTTGAACTTTAGATGATATAGTTTCTTAGAAGTATCATTTCTGTAAGTTTTTAAAATGAAAAGAAATCAACTGCAAAAGAATGGGTAGAAGCTCATAACTCAAGGATCAAAGTTCTAGAGAGGAGAGATGAACCTTCTAAATGGGATACAGGAGAGCTTGAATATCAACAAATAGTATGCCAGCTTTGATCAATTTCTTCTTGCTCTGTCTTGAATTGGTGCTAAATATCATTATGGCATTCAAATTTGACACTGAATAAGAGAAAGAAACGATGAATACCTGGTTGAAGAGTTATGGCAGCTTTATATTTGTGTATTTGATGCATAATTGCTCAAAACTGCACAGAGTGAAGAATAAGCTTAGTTAACATAGTTTTATTAATTCTCAGCTAAACTCCAAAAATGTAACTTCTCTATTGTTACCCACTTTTAAATTCTAATCAATTACAAAATAATTAAACTCCAATATTTTTAAGCTCGCTTATAGACATCCAATTAACAAAGCAAAGTGTATATATATATATAAAAGGCACAAAGATCTCCTCAAAAAATAAAAAAATAAAAATAAAAATCTAAGATCTACAATTTCACATTTATATTCTGCATAGGAATGCGAGTCAATTTCCAATTCAAATTTATGACAAACATCCTAGCTTCAATACTTCTAAAACCATAAATGTCAAATGAAGGTTGAGGTAGTAAAACCTTTCCCAATACAAACGTCATTTTTATCCACCATTCTGGGTAAGTAAAAACTATCAACTAAACCTCATAAAGATGGATTGGAGGCTGCCAGATATCACACACGTAATATGGGTAAGCTAATGTTTATAAAGCATTTTTGGTCAATTAATACCTTGTATCAAATTGGTACAGATAAATCTTGCGAATGGATTCAAAGGTATACATTATTGGAAACGTACGAAATAGGGGGGAAAAAAATGGGAGAAGAAATGACATTATCCAATATGAAGCCATTGGCAGAGCTAAGTAGAGACTAAAGGTCTTCTCTTCTGTCCAGATTGAGGCAAGAAAATGTTGAAGTTTGCAGCCAACTATCTGATGCCAGGTTTATTAGATAGGAGGGTGGCAGCTAAGGGTGAATCCCAACACATTTTGCGCTTCCAAACAGTATGGGTAGAGGATGATACAACTATGACCAAGTTGAACAGAAAGAGAGGAAGAAAGAGGAAGAATTATCATTACCAGCGAGACAGACTAGATGACAGAGATGCAAGGAAGTTCAGGAGCAGGTTAGATGGAAACAAAATTACAAGCATACAGGTATCAGATGGAGGGAGACAATACAGTAGGAATGAGATGAGCGACTAACACAAGTAGAAGAATGACCAATGGAGGAAGTTTTCAATTGTGGTTGTCAGTGGAACTATAGGCAGCAACCGTGGTACAAAAAAAGGTACAGTAAAAGGAAGGATAAATGCATCTATGCATGCCTGAGAAAATGGGAGAAAGGAGGAAGATAACTGGGTTGAAGAACCTACGGAACAACAGAAAATTCAAGACAACTAATCTCTTGTTGTTAACGCTAATTAGAAGTTGAAAGAAGACCGAATGGGTTTGGGCTAACCGAAATACACAGGATCCATTTCAGAAAACTAATGCACACCTTATTTTTGCACAAATGAATGAGCAAGGTAAGTTTTGTGGGTGGGCCAACATATTATTGGAGCTATTGAAGTCAGGCATCCCATCCCCCTTGTGCAAGCCAGTCAAGAACGTTGGATATGGTTTGGGTGGAATGAAACTTCTAATATCAGGCGAAGCTGAAGTTACTTATGAACCAAAAAGGAATCTTTGGAGGGATTCGGATTTATTTAGATATGTTTGGAGGCGGCAGATTGGTCATACTGGAGGAAAATAACCCCTAATATTGCTTGGATGGGTTTCCAAAAATAAAACAATATGAAGCATAAGAAAGGGGGTAACCTAAATTTTTGTACAGAATGGGCAATGCAAGATGAATCTAAGGTTAGGAGGTAGATGAAGGTCGGCATGCTTGCAATAGTAACAAACTTACACTAATCAACCAATGAATCATTGAAGATGGTCTTACAGCCAGTGTGTGGATGGAGGTTTTGTACATTTTTTTAATGGGAAGCTTAACACCAAGGGAGAGTTTCGTACCTTTTATGAAATTTATTCATCTATAATTTCTGAATTTGCAGTAGAGAATAACTTGGCGTGAGTTTCTACTCCATCAATAAATCCACACAATGTGGCCAGGGAGTGTTTTATAGGCAAAGTAAAATGAAGTGGGGAGATAATAGGAATATTATTAAGATATTAGGAGGACTTATTAGTTTTTTGCTATAAAACTTGTTAAGTGAAGGGTAATGAATAGTGAGTACCGGTATTGGAAAGATGGGAAGAATTTGGGATTAATTTTGGAGATTGTCCAGACAACTCGAGGTCTAAGAAACTTGTGATTTTCCTTTCTTATATTAACAGCACTTTTCGGTTAATTTCTACTCCAATTTCTAGTTTTGATCATAAGTTTGGAGAAACATCGCTAAGGTTTTATTTTTGGTTGCTTTGGATGGAAAGAAATAGAATAATCTTTGGATATTACTTCAGATCCTTTTGTAATCTTCGGGAAATTGTATAGTTTACTGTCTCTTCTTCAAGTGATCTTCAGTAATTTTTCCTTTTTGTATGAATTTGAAATGAGAGTACTTCACAATAATTCTTGCTGCTCTGGGACTCTCAAGAGACTCCTTATCTCCCCTTTCTTGCTATTTTATCGACAAACTTCTATTCTTGCAGTAAAATCAAATAGAACAATCTATACTTAAAAATAAATTGAACAAAAAAAGGGTAGACAGGAAAAGCCATAGATCCGACTCCAACCAATCGTTTATAGCGAAGAAACTAAAGGATATCTCACCAGAACACTCAACTATAGCTTTTAGCAGAAAGGGTCGATCAGTTCAACCGTTAGCCAAAAGAGTTTTAGTAATATTAAGGTTCTATTTGGAATAGTATTAGTAGCATAATTGTAATTACTTGGTAGTTTATTAGAAAGGGTGGTTATAACTAGAGGGGGTTACGAAATTGTAAGGGCATGCATAGTTTTGAAAAGTAAGTCCATAGTAGAGGGGTTATGGGAGAGAGATAACCCTCTTGAAAGGTTATTGATATTGTAATTTCTCTTTTGATACAGCAACATAGTTATATTGTTCCTTGAAATTGGGATCCTAACAAAAATTTAGAAACAGTATGGTGCCACTAGAAAGACACTAAATTTCTGAAACAGAAGTTCACACCATGCTTCCTGAAAAAGGGCAATGAATAAACAAGTAGTCCAAGCTCTTGTTGGGACTAAAGCACAATAAACATCAGTTAAGGTGGGGGAGCAAACATTACAAGGTCAAGCTTGCCCTTAGTCCACCGCAATAGATATCAAAAAACGAAAACTGTATCGGGTGGACTTAATTTTCCATGCAATCCTATGGTTTCAAATGGTCCTAATATTGTCGGGTTACCTCTCTGTCATCATCAAGACACTAGAAAAGAAGTTGCTGGTGAACTCACGGATCCAGGTTCTAAACTCTTCTACTGAGATAGTCCATAGAATTATAATATGCCTTGAGATAATCCCTATCCTCAATAAAGACGTCAGAGAGTTCAGTACCATTGTTCTAATTGCTTCTAGTCTGAACTCCCAGATAGAAACCATAATACTTACTCCTATCACCATTGCTAACGGGAGAATCTTTATGTAACCTCCTCTTAGCCTAGATTGAGGTGACGCCTTATCGCATTTTCCACTTTATAATAATTACACCTCGTACAAAGCTTTTTTTACCATCCAATGAGAAAATGATTATATTCACTCAGTAATATGCTAAAAGAATGAACACAGTGTTTCTACTGAAGCCTCAACTTTCCTCAACATATTTTCTTTAGCTATGTCCACGAGCCTACAATTAAAAAAAAGTGAAACTGACTATCTAGTATAAGAGTTCTTGGTAAGTGAAATGTCAAGATGTTCGATACGTGAAGGAAAACATTAACTAATTCATATTATCCATACTTCATAGACAAATAATATAAACATCAAGAGAGAAGAATAACAAGAGTTATTATCTTAATGTTATGTCAAAACTCGTATCTTCCTGAAATGCTCATCTTCATGGCAGACTGCCTAATGAAAAGATGACACTTGAACTCTATCTCAAACTCATCAAATAAATGTGAAGTTTAACTCAATAACATAAATCCCCTTACGAATCATTTTATTGATTGAAATGTACAAAAGGAAGGTAAAAACCACCTCCAAACCAAAAAGTTAAAAAAGGCTCTCCAATTAATAAACGTTGTCAGGTTAGTTGCCGGGAGAAGAACACTCAAAGGAAAAACAAACATATGAACATTAAATGTATATAAGAATATACAAAATGAAAAGAGTAAAAGAGCTTGCCTTTGCATGGTTGCTGAAGTTTTACTCGTTAAGACGTGGTTGCCCGTAATAAGGTACCCACCCAAAAAATCCGAATGCGCACCCTCCACTGAACAACATCACCTTCAATTACCAGAGAAGTTAGTTGCAAAGGTGATAAAGAGTGGGCAAGTGGGTAACAAATTTGCAGTTCATTAGTTAACAAACTGAAAGACAAAATAGGGTTCTCCTCCTTGACCCTGTAAATGATTAATCGATATCCTGAACACCATCAAATCCCTCAATCAACATACTATATGTCTTAGGATGAATTTGGCAACCTTGTTTCTCCATGATGCCAAATAATTCAGAGCATTTATCAACAAGGCCCTTCTTAAGTAAGCCATCAATAAGTACTTTCCAAGTCATTTCATCATAATTATACCCACACTGAAGTAAACTATAAAACACTGTTTTTGCTTTCTCATTATTTCCTTCGTCATACAATCCACAAAGCAGCAGCTTGCAAGAATCTAAATGTGGTAAATGTCCTTGCTCTATCATGATATCTAACCATCTCACTGCATTCCCATACAATCCCAATCGGCAAGAACAACCGAGAAGAGAGTTATAAATGTCTTCATTAGGCAATAGTCCTTTTTCTTTCATATGATCAAACAACCTCTGGGCTATTTCCAAGCATTCAACCTTGCAAAGACCTGTAATAAACTTGCTATAAGTATTAGCATTAGGTGCACAGCCATGCTTGACCATCTTCCCAAACAACTCCAAAGCGAATTCATAATCTACTCTCCTCCAAAAGTTGGAAAAATCATTGGAGGCAACCCCTGATGACAAATCACTCAACTCCGAATTACTATTTACTTCTTTCAGTTTTTCATTCGAGAGATGTTTAATTAAATAAGAATATGTGTAGAAAGATGGCTCACAACCAACATCATGCATATGCTTCAGAATGTCAAAAGCATCATCAATTGATCCAAACCGTCCATATGCATCAATCAATAATGTATAAAGAAGAGTGTCTGGCAATATTCCTTTTTCATTCATTTTATAAATTAAAACCTCTGCATCTTTTAGTCTACCCTGGCTACAAAATGCATGAATAAATGCAGTATATATAAATACATCAGGATGAGAACCCGTGGAAAGCATTTGATCAAACATATTATGAGCACGGTCAAACTCACCATCTTTTAATAAATTCTCTATAAGAATGGTGTAAGTATCAACAGCAGGCTTAATGCCCCTCTTGATCATTATTTCCATAAGTAAAAGAGCTTCTTGATAATTTTTCTCTTTGCAATATCCATCAATCAAGGAATTATAAGTAAATGAATTTGGAACCCATCCATCACTAAGCATTTTATCAAGCAATGAATGGCCATCACTGACTTTTCCCACCTTGCAATAGCCATCAATCAAAGCACTGTATATTACTTCATTTGCCTTTATGCCTTTCACCTTTAGAGAGTCAAAGAGAAGACGAGCTTCTTCAACCTGCTCTCTTTTACAGAGTGTATCTACAAAGACACTGTAAGTCCACTCATCAGGAACCAAACCACTTTCATTCATCAAACTAAGCAACTTATAAGCACTATCCAGATGCCCTTCTTTGCACTGACCATGGATTAATAGGTTGTAGGTAACTACATCTGGTTGAAGCTTCCGATTGAGCATTTCATTAAGTAGTGACATGGCCTTGTGGACATTCTTAGCCCTGCAAAACCCCAATATCAATTCATTATAAGTGCGAGCATTTGGACTACAATTATTCGATTCCATCAAGCTCAAAATTTCCAAGGCACTCGTACTCATTCCTTTCTTACAATAACCATCAATTAAGGCATTGTACGTGACCAAGCTTGGAACCAATCCTTTCTCTAGCATTCCATTTAGCATTTTCTTGGCATCATCAAAATTGTTGTCTTCACATAAACTATGAATAAGGACCGTCCAGGTATATACATTTGGCTCAGAACCCTTCTCAGTCATCTCCTTGAACATACTAAATGCTTCTGTTTTCCTGCCCAATTGACACATTGCATGTATGAGAACCGTATAGGTACGAACAGTTGGCGAACAATTATCCTCGTGCATTTGTGAAAACAATTTAAGAGCTTCATCAATCCTCCTGGCTTCACAAAATCCATTAATCATATTAGTATAAGAAACCTCATTCCTGCGGCAACCTTTGCTCGGCATCGATAGAAAAATTCTATACGCACCATCTACATTCTTATTCCTACAATATCCTAATATCAAAGACGTATAAGTAAATGTATCCAAACTCAAACCGGCTTGCACTATCTTACTGACATACAACTCTGCTTCAACTACATAACCCAATTTACAATATCCATTTACCATTGTGTTGAAGGTATATATATTTGGTGTAACCATGTCATCCAACATCTCTAAATACACACTTTTCATTTCATCAATCATGAGAAACCTCGACAACAACATCAAGAGCATGTTATAGCACCTAAGAGTGAGCTTAAATTTGAAATCATCCCCCCGGCGGTTCATGCTCCGCAGCATTTCCAACACGAACAGAGCATTCTCTAAGGAATCCGTCGACTTAATCATCAAAATCCGCATCTTTTCAGCAATGTGAAGGTAGCCATTGGGAACAAGGATATTTATAATAGAAACATAGGATTGAACGTTGTGTTTGAATCCATGCTTCTGCCCGATCCAATTGAAAAACGCAAGAGCAGTTTGGGGATCGAGATTAAGGGCAAAAAGAGCAGAGATATGAGACGGAGAAATAGAAGGGATTAAAACTTTCAGAGAAGGATGCTTCTGCCAATTGGGGCGAGAGAGAATGGTAAAGAGCTGCGCGGATATATCATGTTCTACAGGAAGATTTTGAGGAAGAGAAGCAGTTGATGTGAAGAACTTAAATGTGAGTGAAAATGTGAATCTAAGCCTGAATCCATGGACGATGAGGAGCTGACCTGAGTTGATAATGACGGCGGAATTTCTAATCATCGTGGGGCATCGAACGGCAGTGAAGACTCCATGCATAAATGAAGAGTTCGGCGATGATGGAAGAAGATTCATCAAGCAATCAGTGACCCTAGCAGCCCTGATTCGACGATATCGGAAATCGGCGGACTGAGGTTCCGAAATGCTCTTTCGTCGGCGATGGAGTTTCTACGCGGTGCGTATTTCGCTCTTCTCGCCGGTCCAGGAAGAGAAGAGAAGGGAGAAAAAGAAAATGGCGGAAAAAAATAATAAAATAAAATAAAAAAATAAAAAATAAAAAAACAAACGCAAACTCAACTCAAGTTTGAAAACCAATTTATTATATATCTTTATTTTAAATAAATAAATTTGTTTTCTTATTTATGTTGAATATTATGAAATTTGAGTTTTTAATAACTATATATAACATTATATCATATTTTTACTTATAAATTTATTATTATAGTTTTTTTTTTAATATAAGTTATTATTAAAAATTCAGGCCGAGAACTCAATTCCCGTAAATTCTTGGAGAATATCTACCCAATTTTTATAAAAAAATAAATGAAAATTTTCACCAGAACAAGAATTGAAATAGGAGGCAGGTTCTCGGTTCTATCCTGTTGAGTGGGCATTTCTAGTTATCAACTCGTCAAATTGAGTTATATTTAAATAAAAATAAATAAATTTCAAATCATCCTAAATTTATTATTAATTTTTTTAAAAAAATTGTTGTAAGATGTTTGAAAATAAATAAGTGAATGTTATTAAAAAAAATAAACTTTAAATAAATGAGTAGGGGCAGACATAAAATATTTATGTATTTTATTATTTAATGAGAATGGCTTGAATTAAAAAATTTCTAACCCTTCGAATAATTAAGTTGAGTCTAAAAAATGTCAGAGTCCAATTTATGCACGTGGAGGGAAAAGAATTGGGAGTTTGACGAGAGGAAAAACCAAAGAAAGAAAGAAGATACTACGTGGAGGTGTTGCACCAAAAGCCGAGGTTCCACCCATTTCAATTTATGAGTTTTCAGTTAGTAATCTCGTACTCTCGATCGACTCGAACCACTTCGCGTTATTTATGTTCTGGCTCATTCTATTCACGTCACTAGCAACGGCTCGTGCAAGATTAGAGACCAATAAAATTACACAATCTAGAAAAAAGCAAGGAGATAATGTTGGTACCCTGAACAACAGGTACGATAGTATCGACGATATTTTTAATCTCTATGAGGTCAATTGTTTTCAAAATTCATGAGGTTGATAATCACCCTCGACTTCTACTCAACATGGATTAGTAAGCTATGATATTTTTAATCTCCGTGAGGTCAACTGCCTCCAAATTTTCTTACAATGATGTCAATCATGTCTAACGGCCTCCAAATTTCACACTTGTCATCACGACCCATTTTCTAAGGAAGATATGAAATAATTTTCAGCGACATGTACTAAAAAAACCAAGGGGCATTGATGGTCAACGATAGAGGACGTAAATCTGGTTAAGCGCTCGTGGCCCTACTGAAAGATGGGTGGAGATCAAACAACGAGACATTTAAGCTCGGGTACCTATATTAGCTAGAACGGTTGATGGGAGAGAAGTTACCCGGTTGTAACTTGAAAGGGGCATCAACTGTAGATTGTAAAGTCAGAATCTCAGGAAGCAGTACACGATAATTGCCAAGATGCTCGGACCTGTATATCAGATTTGGGTGGAAAAGGATATAGTACTACGTCTCAAATCCACAATCAAGGAAATCTTGGCAACGTCAACGAAAAAGTATACCGGAACCAAAATATTGTCACAATTAGGAAATAGGAAAAGATTTTTATTAACTCATAAATGATTGCGTTGTACGGAAACCAATGGATATGTAAACAACTTAGCTGCAAAGTCTTGCATCACGACAGAAGGACAAAAAACGACCCAAATTTTTTTACTTAATTTAAGGTCGCTACTGTATACGTATCATAAACATTGAATGCGGAAGACTTCATTTAAATTCCATAAAACATAAACTTTATCTTAAAACACAGCCATGGACTTACGTGTTTCGAAAACATCTTTAAAACGACACAACAAAAGACCCGAAATAAAATAAATAAGCGTTTAAGTTTAAAACATCCTATTCTAGCCTAAGTCTAAGAAAGTAAATACCACTATCCTATGCATGTGTAATGGTTTCAAGTTATGCGTGTCATCCTTGCGCAGGGACCATGCTAATCTTCTCTGTATCGTTCCAATTTTATCGGATGTCCCATTTGAAAATGAGGTGGCAAGACGAAGGAAGTAGTGGACCTACTTGAATAAACTGGACTTGGATGAGGGCGACATAGTGCGCACCTCATAAATATTTTGTCCACTGAGATCCACAAAATAGATAGTTTCTTATCTGTCTTGATACAGTTGAAGAAGAGATATTGCATGTATCTGCTAGGTAGGAACGTGCGGTCGACCAAATTTCCAATTCATTTAGTTAAAGTTGTCTTGTATTTCAACAAAATTGTTAGATCGACTTGCATGCTATACACGAGGGTTGCGCTCGTTACGGGACTTAACCCAACACCTTACGACACGAGCTAACGACAACCAGGCACTTAATTATAATGGGTTTTATTTTTTCAATATAATATTTCAAAAGGGTAAAACAAAAATAATGAACTAATTCTTGATTTATACTGTTTTTAGGAAGTAAATTACCATTTTAGGCTTCTATCTTTATTTTTTAATATTAGAGTAAGGAAATAATAAATAATAAAAAATTATTACTTATGCTCTAAATTTATTAAATTTAAATTAAATTGCAAAAAGATGAAAATAAAAAATGGTAAAAGACAAACGGTCGGTTTCTTATCTTTTAACTCGACAAACTATTTTTTTTTAATTTCTTTTTCTTTTATAATTTTGATTATATATTTAAATAAAATAAAAAATAAAAAATAAACCTTTTTATTTCTCCAAATTTGTTTTTACTTCAAAAATGATTAATAATAAGATAATATTTAAATATGGTTAGTGAGGGACCCCACAACTGAGGTCGTCTATGATTTCATGTTTAATGGCATATAGACTCTCATGTCTCGAAAAATTATGAAAATGCAAAGAAAATAAATTGAATCGAAAAACTCTTTGAATGTTGGAAATGTGAACGTGCAGGCTGTGAGGATGAAGGACACGTGTCAAGCGATGGATAGGGTCGCACGATTAGTTGAGATGACAAAACGTGTCAGCTTAGGAGAGGAGCGTGTGTCAAGGTAGAAAGAAGGCATCATGGCCATGCGGTTAGTTGGAGGGATTCAACTTGAACCCTAGAATTGACCTACGTCTAATCCACTACCGTTGACCTGTGAATCGAGGCACAATGCAATTTAACACCCATAACATGAGCTGCCCACCTGACTTGACCTGTTCTAGAAGTGCCAATGAGTGTGCACCACGTGGCATGTCGTGAGTGCGCGTATCCCTCTCCTAAGCATGTCTGTACTCGCACGTGTACCTACGCGTGGGTGACGTCCCACCTGTTTTTAGTCTTCTTTTTTTGCTCCGTTTGACCTTTATTTTTTTGTTTTCGATCTTGATTTTGATATTAACTCTAATATTACTTGAATTACGACCTACTAAAACGTAAAAAAAAGTTTGCTCGAGAAGACACGTGTCATCTATGTAAGTAGTCATAGGACTTATTCAAGTAATACTTGTAGAGATCGCTAGGACATGCTAGCATGAATATTACTTACCTTCAGTAATTAGAAAATGCATGTGTAGGGCCTCAGAATGACGTTTTTTTTTTATAAGTATGTAAGTATATTATAAAAATTACCAAAATACCCCTATAATGAGATTATGAGATGCATGCCGATTTTTATGCTTTTCGTCGAGCTAGAAAGGGTATATGTATGATAGAACTCGTGTATGGAGGATTGGTTATTATAAATGGAAGCAAATGCATAATGAGAATAATTACCAAAACGTTATCAAGATTTTGAGACGTATGCAATTTTATATATTTTTCGTTGTACTAGAATAGAGGATTGATTATTGTGATCTATGCTCCGAGCGTTTGATGGATGTTATCTCCGTGTCAAGTTTGTATATTTGCATGATTATAGTATGTTTAGCTTCTCGTTATTGATTATGTGTTCTCTGTGTACAGTGTGTTTATTTGCACATAGCTAAAACTAGAGTGTTATAGTTAATATACAAGTGTATTTATATCACTTGTCACAATCGCTCTTTTCTAGCACCGGACTTGCAATTATACGGCACTCACTTCTCAGCAATAAGCGAGTTAAGTCAATTCGTTTGCGCATCGCCTACAACAAGGCACCGTATGCTCGAGCCTCTAGCCCCGATTTAAGAAGAAAGTTTTAGAAAACGAGGGTAGAGAGATTTTCAAAAGAGATTTGAAAGCAATATTTAATGAGAGATTGAAAGCGGTGTTATATAACATGCAAGCAAATGCAGCAACAACAATTTAGCAGTATATAACTATTCGAGCACGGAGAAGTTAACAACTATATATATATATATTAGCTAATTAATTTATTAAAAAAATATATTTGTTATTATTATTATTTTGTTTTTTTTTTTTTTTTTT